ATATATTTATGTTTGTGGTTGTAATGTGACAAAATATGGAAAAGTTCAAGGGGTATGAATACTTTTGCAAACCACTGTAAATTGGAATTTTCATACATAACAATACTCTTAATATGATCAATGTTCATGAGTCAAATGATGATTACAGTTATAAAACTCATGAAAACTGACACAAAAGATGTTTTTGCCATTATATAACTTGATGAATTCCCATATGTCCGTGTTTCTCACTCCTGGTTGTATACATAATTAGAGTGCATTTTTATTCTGTATTTTTCTGCCATTAGATATTTGTATTCAACAGGTATTCCTTCTGAGTAACCATCTGTAGTGGTGCTCTCATTGCGTCTTTGTTCTTTACTACTCAGTTTAAAGTTCCTCCTTTCTTCCTTTCTAGATCAGTGACTTCAATCAAAGGAGACAAACCCGAAGCTCAGCCAGCCCAGAGCAGGAACAAAACAAAGGAGCTATAAAAGAGAAAGAGATCAAACAGGAGCTGGAGGTAGGAAGGACACAGATTCAAACATGTTTTGTAGAGCTTTTAACACTTTGTACAATTTTTTGTCTCCCAATAATCAACAAAATCAGGAAAAGACTGTTCTTGACATGCACCATAGCCAGACTCTCTGATCCAGTTTAAAATTCCTATAGCACAACAAACCAGGTGAATGGTCACCTTCCAATTTTATAAATTAAACCTTTACATGAACTTTGAATCTTTTGAGCAAAAGCATAAGAATAAAAAAGGGAAGAACGCCTTTGAGAAATCCTGGTTTTCTGTGAACCTTCCATCAATGTGCTGTGTAGTACAGTAGGCTACAGAGGTCACTGCTCATTTCAGTGGCAGGCTCAACACGTATAAAATACCTATTGTGTTCTGAATGCCACAGATGTACCTTCAGTCATCGGGTAAGAAACTGAGTACAGGTTGCCAGAACAGTRTATCACAGGGCCACATGTAGAGACAAGCAAAACAGACGTCTTGATGCATCTCAGTAATCCAGGTAGAAAAATCTAAAAGAAATATTAAGTAGGTCCTCTGGACGGATTCTTTAATGAAACGTTTCATCTCTCCTCCAAGAGACTTCTTCAGTCACTGAAGAAGTCTCTTGTCTGAAATAGATTCTTCTGGGTCTCAGTAGGATAAGACTATACATATTAAATATTTAAGTGAAAGATACATATAATTCAACTAATGCTAATGAAATTGCAGACTTTTATGTGTTCTGTGATTTTTAAATTTTTTTAAAGCTGTACAACCTTTTAATAAATATCAGTAATATTTCTGCTATTATTCAATATTCTCTGTTCATCGTTCTGGTTGAGCCAAGGCCAAAGATCCAGAAGGCCAAACTACAGGAGCTGTCCATCTGACGGACATGTGTAGTCTTAAGATATTTAACCATGAAATGTTGTTTGACATGYTTATAAGATGTTCAGTCTTAAACATTTGCACTTGGAATTTTCATAGAATCACTTTAAATACTTTAGTAAGTTATAGGTTTTGTACAATTCTGGTTCAAATACAGAACTTTGTTTACTAGATTAACTAATTATTTGTGGTTTAATATTGCCTTAATGAACAGTGATTTAAAAAAATGTACCTGTAAAACTCTGATGTTAAATGCAATGTGRTTTAAAATTTGGGTGCACCTAACTTTTGTGCTGGTGGGCCTAAGAAAAAATGTTAGGTGCACCAGCGCAAAATGTTATTCTAGAGCCATGCTGTAAGTAAAATTCCAGTGCMCAGTACAGTTACTTGTTTTCCATTACATTTTATTTAATTGGCATAACTCTGTATAAATCAGGTTTCTGTTAGTTTTTTTGTTTTGTTTTGTCTAACATGCCGACTTATATAACCATAACTGATTTCTAATGGCAATAAAAGGGTTAAAAATTGAAGAGGATAAATATTTTTTAAGCACTGTCAATGAGGGCTATGTGCCATGTCATGTTTAATATATTTATTTTTTATTTTATTTTATTTATCGTTATTTAACCAGGCAAATCCCACTGAGATCCCAGATCTCTTTTTCAAGGGAGGCCTGGGCCTTAAGGCAACAACCTATTGTACACGTTTTTCAGGGTGGGGGAAACTGAAGTACCCGGAGAAAACCCACGCAAGCACGAGGAGAACATGCAAACTCCACACAGAAAGACCCCAGGTCCAAACTGGGGATCGAACCCAGGGCCTTGTGGCTGTGAGGCGTCAGTGCTAACCACTGAGCCGTCATGCCACCAGTTTTAATATATATA